CAAAGACTCAAAAACTTTGATATCTTGAGTTAAAGATATAGAACGTAAAATAAAAGAAATTCTTAAGATATTGAAAGCGTTTGTTGAAAAATTCACAATAAAAGCTTAAAGATGTATAATAGAATAATTCCACAACTAAAGAGTGATATCAATAAAAAATTTTATAAGATCTAGACATAGCTCAAAGACTTGCAAGATATTATAATATCAGTCTATAATAGGCAAAATATTATAGATAAAAATGAAAGATTAAAATAATTCTAAGATTTTTACTGAAAAGCCTAAAAAATTTTATAACTTTGATATCTTGAGTTAAAGATATAGAACGTAAAATAGAAGAAATTCTTAAGATATTGAAAACAATTGTCGAAAAATTTGCAATAAAGGCTTAAAAGATGTATAATAGAATAATTCCACAACTAGAAAGTGATAGAGATAAAAAATTTTATAAGATATAGCTCAAGGACTTGCAAGATACTATAATATCAGTCTGTAATAAGCAAAATATTATAGATAGAAATGAAGGATTTAAAATAATTCCTAATTTTTTTACTAAAAAGCCTAAATCGAAAGGAATAACACTTTTCATGTTAAAAACCCAAGAAGAAAAGCTAAAAGAACTTGAACAAAAATTCTTAGGAGAAGAAAATGTAGAAGAATTAGACAATCTGTGCAAAGAGATGACTCTAACTACTAAATAATTAGAAAATATGAAAATGAATACTCAAAAATAAGAAATTGAAGAAGAAAGTGAAGAAGAAAAGGATCAGACACATCCTAATATAACCCCAATAGAATTACCAGTGCAACCTGGAATAGAATCCAACATAAGCCAAAGTTATAAAAGGAATAAAAATTTAACACATGAAGTAATCTATGATAAAAAGAGTCAAAGATTTGGGAATCAATCTAAACTTGAGACTACAATTAGAGTCAAAGAACAAATGATTAGTACTAATAATATTTGGTTAGACCTAGATTGTGTTACCGACTCAGAAAAGATTGTCAGTGACTAGGCTCGAGCTACTTGGATAGCCATAGTAAACAAAAATTGGAATGCCTTATAAGTAGTCAGATTTATTGAAGTCACCTTTAAAGGGATAGTTCATGACTAGTTTACTACTTTAAATGAAGAAGAAAGAAATACTATCATAAGTGGAAATCTTACTTCTAAAGAAGTTAATGAAAACAAAGCAATTCAAGACATAATAAATAGGTTTGAATTAGCCATAAGGAGAGAATTTTTAGGTGAAAATTGGGAAGAAAGTCAAGAAAAAGAAGAAGCAAGAATTGGAAGAAGCATGAATTAGAAGAATAGCAGTATGGATTTTGCAAATTTAGAACTATGTAATCCTTGTGAGTTATATCAATACATTTGCATGTTCTAGAAATACTATTATAAGGCTTCAAATCATAGAATGACTAAAGGCCTACTAGAATTGTTCTTTGGGAAAATTCCTAATCCTTGATGAATAAAATTGGCAAAAGCCTATAGAATATATGTAGAGGATAAGAAAGATACTTTAGGACTAACAATTTGGTTTGCTAAAACCAAAATTAATGAATGGTGCATAAAAACCTATAACCTAAACAAACTAACAAAAAGTATGAAAAAAGGACTCTGTTGCCCTAAGAATAGTGATCCAATCAAATTAGGATGTAGTTACACCAACTACAAAAAGAGAAACAAAAAATTTAGAATTAAAAGAAGTAATAAACAAAGGTTTAAAAAGAATAAATTTTCTAGAAAGAAAAAGAGGTATTTCAAGAAAACCAAAATGCCAAGAAAACATAAAAAGAATCCTAAGAAATGCACATGCTGGTTGTGTAAAGAAGGACATTATGCAAATGAATGTCCTAAAAGATACAAAAGAGAAATCACCAAAAACCTAAAAGTTTATGAAGAAAAATTAAGTGAAATAGATACTAGCTCTATAAATAGCAAAGAAAGTATATATGAAGTGGAAAGTTTATATACTTCCAGTAGTGATGAATCCAAATATTGAAGAGGGAGAAGCTTATTTTGAAGAGTATGAAGGACATGGAGAATAAAGTCAAATAATTGTATTCAACAAAAGTAAATATAAAAGAATTAGACAAAAGGTAATTGACCTTGCGTTAGGAAAAGGATTCAAGTCTAATTCCTTTATAAGCAATCCTTTTAAGAGGAAAGATATAGTTTATTATGGAATATCCATTAAAGAATATAACATTTCTATAAGAAATACAACAGGAATAATAAATATATCTTTGATTATCAAGGCAGAAATAGAAAGCAAACTGCCAAAAATTAAAGAAACTGATGGATCAAAGATAGGTTTTATCCATATTGGAGGAATACAAATACTTATTAAGGCTCATTTTAAGGAAGGAATAGACACCCCGATAAAATTAGCTTTAATAGATAATAAAATTAATGATAGAAAGGATAATATTCTTGGATTAGTGCAAGGTAACCTTAGTTACCAAAAACTTATGTTTACAATATATCCAAAATACACTGTAAAAATTAATGATAGAAATATTAATAAAAGTTTAAGTTTAGCACATGAATTTATAAGAGAAAATTTTATGAAAGATGAATCAATGCCATATAGTATTTACTATATGATAAGTTATGCATTGACTAATAGTCATCAATTTAATCTTTTTGAAGATAAAGAATATATTGAATTAGATCCTATGTTCTCTGAAATATGACAAATTCAAAAACCCAAAATGATCATTGAGATAGAACTACCCAAAGAATGGGAAATAGACTTTAGTGAAAAACCACTCCTCATAGGAGAAAGAGCAAAGCCTATACTAATGGCATATGAATTAGGAAAACTATTAGTCAAAACAAAACTTGAACCAAGCCATAGAAATAGTATAGACTTAGGAGCTTTGTGCTATCCTAAGAAAGATAAAGAGGTCTTGACAAGAATAAATAGTATAAAACATGAGGTAGTGTTAAACACCTTAAAGATTTCTTCTAGACATTTCAAAATAAAAGGAGATTATTATGATGGGAAGGAATGACATAACATTTTTATCCTAATAGATATAGGAGCAAGAGTAACACATATCCATAGTGATATGATTCCACACCTACAAAGATTTGAATTTATGAAACCATATACATATTACAACTTTAATGGTGCAATGACCACATTACATAAATATGCTAAAGTACTTCTTCAAATAGAGGATAAGAATAAAATTCAACATCAAATCATTGTAACAGCTCATGTAGAAACAGAAATGACTGCAAGTATAGAATTGATGCTAGGAAGCATATTTTTAACATCAGTACAACCATATAACATCGAAGAACATTGTCTAAAGATTACCTTAAGTGGAAAAAAAGTAGTTATACCAAGATACTCTGAAAACTAGTATCTATAGTGTATACATATCCATTGGAATTAAGTATGAAGAATACAAAACAGAATTCTCTCATGCCTTTATAGACACAGGATCTAGGATATGTTTGGCAAAAACTAATGTACTCCCAAAGTATTATTAGAAGAACACTTCTCAAACTATAAAAGGTGTAGCCATAGATAGAAGTATTGTTAAATATAAAACAATAATAGAAAGAGTTACTATCGTAATTGGTGGAACTGAAATTATAATTCCTCAAGTCTACGAAAGTTATGAACATGGGAACGACATTCTATTTGGAAACAATTTCCTAAGTTAATTCAAACAGTATGTTCAAACTACATCATATGTAAAATTTTATACTTCTTATGGACATTAGCTTTACACCTCTAGAATTTGTAATGCTTACGTTAAAGCAATAGAAGCATTAAATTTTGCAACTAACATGGTGAGGATAATAGAAAAACTCCATCAAAAGATATTAGAAAACTAGTGTTAACATTGTGGAATAATGAAAAAACACAAGAAGAAAAAACCCTAGAATCCATCTCATAAGAATTAAGAAGTAATTATGGAGAAGATCCTACAAAACTATGGGGAGTTGACAAAACTTATGCCATAATCAAATTGATAGACCCAAAAACTATTATCAGAGTCAAACCAATGAGGTATAGCCCTGAAGTTAGAGAAGAATTTGACAAGTAAATTCAAGAATTGACAGCCCAAAAAATTATACAAGCCTCTAGGAGTCTAGATAGTAGTCCTGTCTTTATGGCAAGAAATCATAGTGAATTAAAAAAGGGAAAAGCTAGAATGGTTGTTAACTATAAACAACTTAATAGCAAGACAAAATTTGATGGTTACTTTTTATCACATAAAGAAACTAATCCATAGCATTATGGGAAAGAAGATAAATTCAAAGTTTGATTACAAATCAGGATTTTGGCAAACAAAGCTAACTCCTGAAAGCATCCCACTAATAGCCTTTAGTGCCCCTACAGGATGTTATGAGTGGTTAGTAATGCCTTTTGGATTAAAAAATATGCACCTCAAATATTTCAAATAATAATGGATAATGTATTCTTTTCCATCAAGAAATTTTGCATAGTTCATGTAGATGACATACTAATCTTCTCTAATAACGAGAAAGAACATTTATGTCATCTTAAGAAATTTGAATATTTATACAAGAAACATGAAATATTACTTTTTAAAAAGAAAGTAGAGATAAGAAAAACTAAAATTGAATTCCATGGATTGACAATAAATTCCACAGGAGTAGAATTACAACCTCACATTATTGAAAAGATTTCAATGTTCCTTGATAAATTAGAATTTAAAGAACAGATTCAAAAGTTTTTAAGAATACTCAATTATGTAGAGCAGTTTATTCAAAACTTATATCAATTAAGACATCTATTGCAAAATGTAATATCCCAAATTTTTTAGAATTTTATCATTTAAGTAAGGGACTTATTTTGGGGAAAATATTGTTTTGGGGCTTATTAGCTAAAATATCCAAATTTGTGGGACTTAAAAGAGGAAAGAATTTGGATAAGGATCAGCTATTTTTTTTTCTCCTTTTCCTCTTTCTTCTTCAACCCAATTTTGCTCTTCTTTCCTCCCCTGCACCGAGCAACAAAACCCAGCCAAGCCGACAGCCTTCCCTTGAAGAAACCAGTAGGAAAAGCTTGGTTTTTGCCTTTCTTTTCTTGTTCAAAAACCAGATTTGGAGCCTTGAAACCTTCTCCCCCTGCAGAGAAAATTTCCAGATCTGCTTTGCTCTGTCTTCACCACCTGCTGCTCTTGGAGTGGGTGCGAATTCCTCTAATTTTTGGGTAAGAAATAGCCACTAATTCCTTTGTTCTTCCTTGATTTGGTTTGGGTTAACTTTGATTTCTCTTGGTTTCTCCAATTTCCGGTAGATTCCCCTTGAATTTTTCCTTCCATGCCATCGGCCTCCCCCAACCTCCAGGTCCGGTTTTGCTGGGAAAATTCTGGTATGTAACAGCTACAATAAGTTCAAATTTTTAGTCCATTTAGCTATTGTTTTGTTGAATTTATCCATGTAGTGGCTGGCCTTGCACTGTCTGAAAATCTGTTGAAAAATGGGGATGAATTTCGGTAGTAATTAGAGCATAATTAAGCTTAATTCATGTATAAATTGCTTGAGTTGATTGCTGTGAAATTTTGGAGAAAATCCCGTGAGATTAGCTATGGTTTTGCCCCTTTTTGGAAGTTGCAGTTACTATTCATTGCGTGATTACTGTTTACGGGTACTGTTCACGCACTAATGGCCAACAATATGAGGGTTTAAATGTGTAGTTATATTGAAAATAAAATTGAGATGTTCGGTCATATGGGTATTAATTTTTGAATATTTGATTAGGTTCCCGATTGTTTTGTCACCCGAGCACTTGGCTTGAGTTTCCAATTTTATGCGATTTGAGATAAGTAAATTATGGTAATGTCCTCTGATTTTAAAGCACATTTTAATTTGTTTTTGAAGTGGTGGCGTGATCAAACTCATTTTACACAAGTATGATCGATTTGAAATGAAATTATTATTCTTTTTATTGATTTGAGCATGCCTTCTTGAAGTTTACTTAACTGCCCTGATGATTTGGAAATTATTTGTGAATTATGATTTTTCTGTTAACTTCTGCTTGTTTTGTCTTCGATATGGTCATGTACCTGCTAGTGGGAGGTTTATAAACGCTAGCACATGTTGACATGTTACTGATAGAACTGGTTTGTTTCTATTATATTGTTATCCTGCTAGTGGGATTATACACTAGTAAATCGTGTGCCTGCCAGTGGAAGGTTTATAACACTGGCCATGACCTATAGAGCAGACATTTATTTCATTCCCGTATTGTATCCATTTTTTGTGATTATACTTGTTGGCATGCTATAAGTTTAATTAAGGGCTATCCATATTTACTTACTGAGTTATCTTGTAGTTTTTCCTTGTCCACCATTTCAGGAAGCGAAGTCAAGGACGGGGAAAATCGAGGGGAGTGACGAGTTAGAAGGCTAGCCATCTTGTAAATTTGATATAGATTTTAGATATAGATCATGATCTTGTAAGCTAAATTTTAATTGGAGATTTTATAAATTCATTGAATGGATTGTTAGTTTACAGGAGATTTGACCTTGAAATTTTGAGCTTAAGTCATGTTGGACATGGAATTATTTTGAAATATCTTATTTAAGTTATTGGATTGTCAGATGTGAATTGGATAAGTTCCGAGCCTTATGCATTTGTGGGACCCTCTCACGAGTGCACAGCGTTTGTTACGCCTCAGATTTGGGTTCTGGGGCATGACACAAAAATTTCTCATGAAAAAAGAAAGTCAACAATGGGACATTTATCACACCAACCATGTAAAAAGAATAAAAGAATATTGCAAAAACCTCCTTAGGCTACAATTACCTAAAGATGAGGAAGAATTAATTTTAGAATGTGATGCCTCATATTTTTACTGGGGAGTAGCTTTGAAAAATTCTCAAGAAAAAGTCTATAGATATGTTAGTGGTACATTTAAAGATGTCAAAACTAGATGTCAAAACTAGATATCATTCAAATCATAAAGAATTATTGGCCATTAAAAATTGAATAAAGAAGTTCAATCTCTTATTGCCAAAACATTTTTAAGATTAGAACTGATAATACCCAAGTTAAAAGATTTTTTTTTTAATAAATTACCTTTAACACCATAATATAAAATATTAAACAGATGGCAAGCATATTTTGCTGATTATGATTTTGAAATTAAGCATGTCAAAGGGACTAATAATTGTCTTGCAGATTTCTTGAGCAGAGAAGAAGCTAATGGATGAAATCTTGAAACTCTAAAATAAAGGAAAAGACCTTATTCTCGAAGGTCAAAAGATACTCATTGAAGGCTAGCCAAATAATAGAAGGCCAATAAAAAATGATTGAAGGCCAAGAGATAATGGATAAGGGTCACAACCTCATAGACGAAGGCCAAGAAAAAATTATTAAAAGCCATGAGTTATTTAATAAAGGACAAGATGCTCTCGAAGAAGTCAAAGAGCTATTAGAAAAATTAATGAATTTTGAAGTAATTACTATTGTTAGAATCAGCTCAAGAGAATCTAGTCAAATGGCAAAGAAAAGCTCTCAACAAGAACTAAAAGAAAATTTTGAACCAGGTAATCCTTCAGTAGGGTTACTTCGAGAAAGTTTAGGAAAGTTTGACTATTATGTCAAATACTCTCCCTAGAAATATCAGCATCTCAAACTAAAAAGTCAACTATTCAAAATGTCGAAAACCATAACTTTCAATTGATTACTCAATAAAGAAAGAAAAGAAAATTACAATAGTAGATGTCTTGTAAAAAATGACAATGAGTGAAGAATATCTACAAGAATACCACAGAGTATGTAAAATGGCATATTCAATGAGGTCTACCAAGAATTGCCAGCTTATCCATGAAGGGATTTATGCTTGAATTAATTTCATGTAGGTTGCAAACCCAAAAGCAATAAAAGAATTATTCAATTACAATTTTGTAAATTGTATTTATCTTTCAAAAAATAATGAAGTTTCAGAACTTTTAGAAGTTATACACTAAAGAGTGAAAGACTTCAAAACTGGCGCCAAAGCTCAAAGGGTAGTATTTGTCAAAATCTACTTTGTAGCACCAAAATGGGAGAAATCTCAATATTTACCTAGTCATCATAGAGTTCAAGTTGGAATTCAATCCAAGAAGATTAAGGTAGAAGCAAATGAAGATAAATTTTTTAAGACTTTAAAGAGTCTCTTTGTGGGATCGAGTTCATCCAAGAAAGACAAGCTCTAGGATTTAAGGTTTTACTCCAAATCTTTGACATAATGATAGAGATGAAGAAGACATGGACATATGGTTTCTCCAATGAAATCTCAATAGTCCACAAGTGCCAGGTTAATGACAAACATCAGCCTATTCAAAATAAAGTAGAAAAGAAAGAAAATCTTTGAAAATCTAGTGCCAGCCAGTAAAGCAGTCCATAGTAGACTATGCAATCTATTAAAACACGACAATCATTACGGTTTTTGCTACAAAAAAATAATCTACAAAAGGAAAAGATGAAGGCCCATGTGATGAAGGGACCATTCCTTTAGACAACGAAGAAGATCTCATCATCCTTTGAAGAATCCAATGCAAAAAAACGTAAGCTCTTATGTCACCAAAGAGGAAGAAGAGTGTCAGCAAGATTCCATGTAATATGCTTTAGTAAATGCAAAAAGTAAGTTTGGATTACTAGACAATAATGTAAACTTTAAAAGTCAATAATGATCAAAGAAAAGATTCTAAGGAACATTGTAAAAGCCTCCTATAAGCTATAACAGGTATCATGCATTTGAATTCCCAAATACCTTACCTGAAAGCCTTCTATCATGCATATGTAAAACACCCTTCAAGAGGAAAGGGAACTTTCCTTTTCTCCTCTCAGAAATAAAATCAAGTTTTAGAATAATTCTTGTGTTCCTATCCTTTTTTATTTCATCATAAAATATAATGAGAACAATCTTGAAGAAACTTAGGCAGTAATGAAGTCACTTGTCCTGTCCAAATACCAATTGTAGCTTGAGTTTGGCATTGAGGGTTGGACGAAAGAAGCATTTTCTTGACTGAAGGCTAGACCAAAGGATTTTCAGGTAAAGTTCTAACTCATTTATTTTATGATGCGGAAGCAAGGTGGGCATAGAAATAACTTTATTATTCTTTAACATTAGATTATTTTTGAGATGAGAAATGATGGGCAAATAATACCTGACCTCTTATATTTTGAATAGAAAAGTCCATTTTATATCAAATCATTATAATCTAAGATGCCTAATTTTATTCAAAAAATTGTTATAGATAAGAAAGTTTAAATGAAGTAATATTATAGAGATAAAATAATAAAAATTTTAGAAAAATTAAGTAATATTGAACATGAATATCATTTATCTAAGAATGTCAAAAAACTGAAGCAAACAACTACAAATTTAAATGAAGATTTGAAACGATTAAAAAGGCCAAGGAAAGATTATCTTTGTTAACAACCTAATAGATCTAATTCTGCGTTTATTGAGCTTCACATACTAGCGACTTATTAGTCAGTAGTAGTTTGAGTTAGGCTCTAAAATCCCTTTAGAAATTTGGTATCAGAGCCATAAAATAATCAAAGCACAATGATGTTAAGAATGTATTTTGTGAAGAGAAGTCAAATTTTATGAACAATAAATAGATATAGTCTCAAAGATTATAAAATTAGAAGGGATGATTCCTTATAGAACTGTTGAATTATTATGGGATAAATATATTCTTGAAGTGAGAAGAGCAATAGCTCTAGAAGAATTAAAAATCTTAGCAAGATAAAACAAAAATTAGTTTTGAAACAAAATCAAGTTTAAGGACTAAAGTGTTAATCCAACAAAAGATGAAAATTGAACACAATGGTCAAAGACCATGAAATGTTTGGTCAAAGGGCAAAAACCCTTAGATTCAATAAGTTAAAGGGTGAATAACCCTAACTTATAAATAGGAGAGCAAAATCTCTTAAACTTGAAAAGTTGAAAGGCAAAGTATAGGTATATGTTGACACTCCAAAGACCAAATTAACAATATTTAGTTATTTTAGAAAGAGAGGCTTTTAAAACTAAATATTGCAAAGAGAAAAGTATAGTGGAGTTATTATCTTTGATGGGGTAGGAGAAGGGTATTTATAGCTCTCATTTATGATACTTGTGCCACATGTCCGTGCTTAATTGGTCCACATGTTGAAGGTCACGTGAGTGGATTATCATTGTTCACCTCCCTTTGGGCTCTTATTAGGCCTTTTGCCAATGTTGGGCCAATTCCCCAACATTAATCCCCTCTTAGTGTTTAGTTAACGAATCACTGTAGTTGTTAACATGGCTCAATATTGGCTTTGATGAGCTGACTCAAGTGAGTTAAAAGTAGCATACTATCAGTTGAGGATGGCAAGCTTGTTCATTTCAAGAGCTCTTTAAAATTTTTATGAGCTCGATCAGAGTTTAGCCACAACAATATCTTAACGAGCTCACCCATAATCCCTTGAAAGAACTCATGAGTTCATCTAATAGAATTTTTTCAAATTTGAAAAAAACATATCTCTTGTGATATTCAAGTCGAATTTATGAGCTCACCCAACAAAAATTTTTAAAATTTGAAAAGCATATATGTTAAGATTTTTTTCAGGCTAATCCGTAACCTCATTGCTCCTTTAATAAATGTTGACGCCGCATTCTAAAGGACATGACTGCTAAAGTCATTTTGTCTTAAATGTACGGTCATGAATGGCTACCAAGTGGGGCAGTTTTATTGGTTTGTGGAAAGGCATGAATACGATTACTAAGATACACATAATTTGGTGAGTAAAAGGAAACGAAAACCATTGTACCAAGCATTTCAACCATTTTTGTTTGCTTTCATCCTCTCTACTCTTGCTTTTTTTTTTCTTTGCCATTTTTGCATGATTTTATAGGTTTTCTAGAGGAGTGAAGAACAAGAAGAAAAGACAAACAACTGTTTCACTCGTAAACACACAAGTAATAATGAATTCCTTTAGAGACACACAACAAAGTGAGGGTAACCAAGAAAACTAGGAAGAAAGGGTGATTGCAATCTCGCTTATTGCCAGGGTTGTACCACTAGAGTTACAGGATAGGCCTGATGTGGATGTACTCTTAGAATCGAAAAGCAACCCAAGTTTCTCTTGAGAAAAAGTAAGAACTGCTAGAAAAGATGAAGGAGGAGAAGAGGAAACAAGAGCCAACACAAGGATTGATGAAGGGCAAGGGGAAACCCAACCCAAGTTAGGGGGCGGCAAAAAGTGCTTCCTAGCACCAATCTAGTAAGCAATCTACGGTTGACACCGGTAGATTTGGTACTGAGTGATGAGCTAAATTCATATAGATATTAATGTGAAATTTTTATCTTGATATTATTTATATTTGGATGAATTTTATGAGATTTTACATGGTTTTCATTCTTTGTGCAAAAAAGGACTTGATTGCATAATAATAGGAGTTTTGGGTTTAATTGAACATATTTTGAAAGTTGAGGGACTCAATTGCAGGAAGAGAGGCACCTCTTTGGGACCTAAATGAATT